TGTTAGGAATTCAGCATATAAATTTTAGAGATACAAAATTCATGCTACAACAGACCTCTGTAAGTTATCTGTAATTTATTTTCATGATCCCATAAGTCAGTCTCTGTCCCCTATAGTTCAGTGTATTCACTTTTCTAATGCCACTCCTCTTCTCTTTGTTTTGGTGGCTACAACCTCTTTTTTGGTTTAAGTTCTTCACAAGCTTAAACTCTTATGGAAAAATTTTTAAATAAAACCATAAAATGACATTTAAAATAAAAAGTGACTAATGACCTATAAAGAAATAGATTACAAACATAACACACATGCCCAAATATTTTCCCTATCTACATATATGTACACATAGCTTTTTATTCATAGGTGTTTCATAGGTGTTTGTGCTTCACATAATTTCCTATAGGCATCACTCTAGGCTAATGCTAACTGGATGTACATATTGAATTTGGCAATAACGTACAAATGTTCGCCGTCACTAACATAATGTTATTGTATTCTCACCTAATCCTGCACATTACTGCACAAATTCAGTGCATCCTCTGAACCACTCTGCAGGTTCCACAGATATGTTCTGATTTTCTCACTTCAGACTGAAATTCCCGAGCAGTGTTCAAAAGCAAAGCACCCAAACCAAACTTACATAGCTCAGGAAATTTTAAATTTACATGATTGCCATTAATTTTTTCTTTAATACATTTGAGAATATATTTTTAGCTTGATAACTTGTGGTTAAAAGAGTCAGGTGTGTGGTTTTCATGTCAGGAAATGCAATGGCTTGTTCAGAGACACTTATGCAGAGTAAAGGTACAGAAGTTGTTGGATATGGTCCAGGGATAGTTCTTCAAATCATGTGCTCTGAGGAGATTCAAAAGCAAGCAAAAAGTTTCCTATCATCCAGGGCTATTTGTAGCTTCAACATTCACAGAGAATAACCCATACATCAGAAAATAGGACTCCTAGGTTTTTTTTTTAAATAGTTGGTAGGTGTTCTATTTAATTTTCCAGACTGATACTTTCATGACTGAAATCTCCGAGATCACCCATCATACTCTCAACTGAATGTGACAGATAAGAACAGCCACAGGCATTGCAGTCTGACCTGCACAGGACACAAAATTTGAAGATTTTTTTTTTCCCCTTTGATACTTAGGAAAAGGTACAAAAAGCTTATTTGCATCAACATCTGGCATGCATTTCAGTGCGGCCTCTGTGGGTTAAAGTGGATTATTAACTACTACAGACAGACACCAGCTCAGTCTCAGACATGTCTCAGCTCAGTAAACCCTGCATCACCTGTCCCCACCCCCCTCGCCCTCCTGCTGGTAAGCTCCTACCAAGGACAATGGGTGGCCACAACTACACAGGTTGCCATGGAAATAACTCCAGTCATGTCAGAGGCAGGATATATCTTCCAGCTTCAAGAAGCACGTGATATCAATTGACCTTCAAATCTGGTTACAGTAAGATTTGCTAAGACATGCTAAGATCTGAATCCTCCCCACCCAAGACTTGCACATTCCCTCCAAATTTCAAGAGCTGCAGGCTTCTACTAGCAGATCTCCCCTCTTGTTCAACTTGCTAGCACCATAGTCCCTCCAGCCATGCAACACGGTACTAATGCTCATTTTCACATTTATCATAGTCAAACTTCCTGCTTCCAACAGTTCTTCTCCTTAGCATTTCATGAGGAGGATAATTACAATTTTGTAATTTCAGTTTACCACAAAGCAAAATAATTTCTCCCTTCCAAGAGGCTGTCTTTGGCTTTATATCAATACCAGGGTCCTGAAAGCTCAACATTCAAAATAATGCCACAAGATTTTGTCAGTTGGGGGCTAGGGAAACAGTATTTTACAGAAGTACATTTTTAAAAAATCATTTCAATTGTTTCACTTTAGAAGAGCCTCCTAAACCTCTTCCAAATATGTTTCTAAATCCTTTGCAAGGAAATCCTAAAGGCCCTGTATATGTGAATTGGAAGTTATCAGAAACCTCCGTTCCCATTTCCGTAGTCTTTTGTCCATATTTTTCTGGATATTTTCCATGTTGATAGTGAAAGTCACCTAAAAAGACTCTGCTAATCTTAGCTATCACTTCATTATTGTTGAAAAACAATTTCATGGACAGACAATTTGGGTTAATTCATACAAAAAGATTCAAATCACTGCAACTTCAATTCTTATGGATACTTGCTTTTTGCTCTTTACATTTATTCATAATTGAATGTCTTCAAAACAACAATGAAGACAAAATCAAAATAACACAAATCAACAAAAATGATACATTACCTCAAAACAAGATGAGAGAAATTAACAGTGATTTCTACATTACATACTCTATCTTCAACGAAGTTGCTCAGTCCCCCAGACATAAGAATGTAAGACTGATAAAACAATAAAAGTATAGTTTTGTTAGTTTTTTTAATTCTTAAAATAAAAAAATTAAAAATGGGGAAAAATAATTGAATGTTTTCATATGCTCAAGCAATATATGCTTATGTATTTTTTTCACTCATTCCCCTTTCCTGGATTTATTTACCAGGAAGGGCAAATAGCAGACATGGTATTTTAAACATATACAACAAATGATACTAGTAGTTAAAGACTGAATAAAATCTTAGACATGACTTAACCACCTTTGTGCCTTTTAAGTTCTTTCATTTTTTGTTTACTTTCCTTCATTATTAAAACCTTCCTAGGGATGGGGATATAGCTCAGTGGCATAAGTGCCTGCCTGGCAAGTGCAAGGTCCTGAGTCTGATTCCCGGTACCAAAAAAATAAAAACTTTCTGAAGACTCTTTATTATGAAATATTGTCTAAGTAGCTGGAAAACATCAAAACAAGCAGAAATGTCTTATATTATGGCATGAGAAAATAATAAGTGAAATAAAACTTAAGAAATAACCAAAAACAAGGAGCAAATTAACAGTTTCTGAAAGGACAGATTTGATTTTTAAATAGGCTAGTCAAGATAGGAGTCACAGGAAAAAAAAAAATGACAATTGAGCAAAGACTCCAAGGAAATGAGCAAGTTAGCCATTGAGAATAATTGGGGGAAGAGTGCTCCAGGCAGAAGGAGGAGCCAGAGAGAACACTCTAGGGTGGGAGCTTGCCAGGAACTTTCCCAGGAATAGTAGACTCTTCCTATGTTCAAGAATGAAACTGTCAGGACCCAACCTCATTCAGTCTAGAATCTCCACAGACTACAGTTAGACGACATCATTCAGTCATTCTCTTTTACAATAAACAGTTACATCTTCAAAATATCATTTTCAGTTGTATTGAAATATTTTGCACTCACCACATTTCTATGCCTTTTAACAAAGATTTTCATTCTTGATTTTGTCATTATAGTCCAAGATTCAAAGTAAGGCATTTTTCTCTATCATTATATTTCCCACTATGACTTTCCAGACAAAATTTATATTCAACAAATGTTTTTAACCAGAAGGAGGAAAAGAAGATATCAGAGTGTAAATAAGTCCTCTCTTAGTTCCATGAATCACAGTGGTCAAATCTTTGCCTCAGTGTCTCATGTGCAATTAAAAAACAGTAACTTGGTAAACAGAAATGTGAATTAAAATATGGGTCTTACTTGGATTCCACAAATATATAAATGTAATAAACGTGAGTCAACATGCAGAAATATGAGTGCTGTTCATAAGAAAAAAATGTTATTTGATGAATCCTGAGGAAATCAAAGACTTTACATAGATGCCCAACGATGGCATTATTGGAGCTGCTGACCTGGATTTTCTGCTCCAGTGGCTGTTCTCCATCAGGTCAACCTGGTCACCTGGATGGTACAGTGATTAGGCCCTAGGGGAACATTTACCTTCCAGGGTGATCCATTTCCTGCTTTGTCTATTTCTAGAACAATGTCTCTCATGACTCTTAACCCTGCCAACTTTCATCAGAATTCGCAACTTATAGTCAAATGACAAGTCCACTTCATAAATATTCTACTAGTTCTAAACTGCCTCATAGGACTTCCTCTGAGTTAGTAACCTGACTGTTGGTAAGCTTCAAAGTTATTTTAATATACCTTCTTCTAAATGTTTTATAATTTCCAGATCTATGAGACTGATTAAAGATGAGATACATGCAATGAGATCATCAGAAAATGCTACACTAAAGCCGTACTGTGGAGTATCTTCAGTGCCTTTGATCCTAGCTCCCTTATACATAGACACAGACTAGAGGTACCCAGAACATCTTCACAACCTCTAGTACAAATACTACATTACCACTCATCATTCATACATTCTGTATCTATTGAGCTCCAAGTATGTAACCATGACCACAGCCTTCCAGGATGCTATGGTTCCAAGTGATGGAATCACAGAAAATGACTTATGCTTCCCAAACTCATAAAAGCCAATTACAAGTCAATTGCCAGTTGCCTATTTGAGTGTTCTTTGGACTATTGTGAGTATTCATCACCAGTATTTAGAGCAATTTTTCCAATATAAGGGAAACCAAATTAATTCCTAGTGAGCATGATGTGAAAGAAATCTGAACCGCCATAAGCTACAACCAGACTATAGTAAATAATGGAGAGCATCCCAGCCCTTGCCCCTTACTGTACCCACAGTGACTTAGTTTCCCTAAATATAATGTCTCCATTTGTACAGTCCAAGTAGTATAGCCAAATCCTAGCTCCTGCTTCCATCTCCCATGTATCTGTGTGCTTTTGTAAACACTTCCTCTGGGCTAATTAAAATACATTTGTTTATGTTTAAATTAATGCCACCCCTTCACTGGGTAGGGAGAGATGGAATCATAGCACAACACACTTTCTGGAAGTTCACCTTAATTATTTTCCATATATAACATCTGCATAATATATCTCTTTGTATAGTAATCTTCACCATTTTAATGTATTGACTGATCCTTAGACATGCTGTATATTTTAGGTGGAAAACTATGGCTTGCAGCAAGATATTGAAATTATTGCATCAAATGAGTTTTTAATTTGCCAAAAATGACTTTTTTCTTTTCAGGTGGTAAAAATGATGATTATTGTTGTGGTGACCTTTGCCATCTGCTGGCTGCCCTATCACATTTACTTCATCCTCACTGCGATCTATCAGCAACTGAACAGGTGGAAATATATCCAGCAGGTCTACCTGGCCAGCTTCTGGCTGGCCATGAGCTCAACCATGTACAACCCCATCATCTACTGCTGTCTGAATAAGAGGTAAAAGCAGGGCTACCGGTGCAAGGTTCCACCCCTCCTACCTTCTCTAGGAGCTTTTGTTGTCCCAGTTCCTGGGTGTTAATTTAAAAGATACAAAGAAAGGAGACTGTGAAAATGCACTGAAAGAAACACAGCCCGATTTTTTAAGATTCCCTCCTGCTTTATGGAAATTATGTGTTCAAAACAGTGTTCTTAGAGTTTCCAACTGGGTAATTTTTCTATGGCAAACTTCTCCTTCCAAACCCTTCAGAATTTTATGTGCCAGAGAGAAAGGTGCCCCCATGATTGAAGGTGGTGGACTGAAACTGTGTTTAAATCCACAAGGCAAGGAAGGTACTTCCATGGGCAACTTCTATACGATGGAGAGACAATGGCATGGGCAAGTGCAGTGTACTAGAAAGGAGTCTGTACAGACCTCAAAACAGCTGGTCGAGGAAGGTGGTAGAAGCAGCAGTAAGAAAAGGGAAGATGTTTGTGAAGTATTTTTAAAAGTGAGGATGTAAATACTCAACTTTAACTCTAGAAAAAAAGTTGAGATGTCATTTCTAGCTTTTAAAAACCCCTTATTCAGTGCATTTGACACATGGATTTCATAGAGTTGACAGTTCCCTTAATAAGCCAGAATGTGTTATGCGCTGATAGAAACAGCTCTTCCTGGAAGTTAACTGAATGAGCTAAATGCAAGTGCTCTTCTCAGTTGGAACTGCACCACACTGTTCCTGAAGTTTGTTAAATACTTAATTACCTCAATTAACGCTCACTCTTCCTCACTAATTGCACAAGCTGTATCTCAATTTAAGCCACCCCCCAAGCAGCACATCTGCTTTTAATTGACTTCGTGTGATTTACAAAGATGAAGATTTTGCACTTCCATATATAATTAGATTAAAACCATTAAGATTAATAATTAAGTCTCACATTAAATGAGACTTTCATTATAAATGTGTGATTTTTCTGGAGAAGCTATCTTGATATACAGTAAGCCAGTTTTAAGTGCCTTAAGGAACCAGCCTAATTCAACTGCAGTAGTGTAAACATATAAAAGTATGGCAGGAAAGTACATTTTTGGCCTATTGATAACCTGATCTGTGCTTTTGCTAGGCAGTGACTTGCTGATCATTGTTAGGAAGTTCAAATCTTATTAGAATAGGAACGTAGAAGTTGAGTGCCAACACTGTGGCCCAGACTCTGAGTTTGACTAGAAGTCAAATTCCACAGCAGAGGTGGCTCAAGTGCCTTCAGCAGGGTTTCCAGGGCCCCTGGAGGACTGTCCCTTGGCACGTGACTTGACCTTTCTGTGACCTCCTCCTCCTCAGATTTCGAGCTGGCTTCAAGAGGGCCTTCCGCTGGTGCCCTTTCATCCATGTGTCCAGCTACGACGAGCTGGAGCTCAAGGCCACCAGGTTCCACCCGACACGACACAGCAGCCTGTACACAGTGACCAGGATGGAGTCCATGAGCGTGGTGTTCGACCCCAACGATGGGGATAACACCAGGTCCAGTCGCAAGAAGAGAGGGGCAACCAGAGACGCAGGCTCCAGTGTCTGCTCCCGCAGGAACTCCAAGTCCACCTCCACCACCACCAGCTTCGTGAGCTCCCCGTACACATCGGTGGATGAAGGCTCCTGACTCCTTACTGGGGTCAAGGTTGCTACAGGTGCCCCTTCTGCTGTCACCCCTGCTGTTGCACCCTCTCTGGGAACAGAAGAACAATTTTTAGGCAGCTATGCTTACACTGAGATGGACTGCACATAAATATAACAAAGATACTAAAATATTAGCTCTCCCCTGCAAAAAAAGGAACAAAATGGGCTTTAAGTGTATTCCTTGAAAACTCTAAATTATTACATGCCACAAACAAAACTATTTATCTGAAAAATATTTGTAGTGTCCAGTTTTGCTTACTTAAAAATTGCTACGTACATTTTGTGACACTAAAGTGACAGTTTTTTCCAAAATATTAAACGAAGTTTAAAATATAATATTGTCAGTGAAGAGAAACCAAGACTGCATAAAATGAAGTGTTTTCAACAACAGACAGAATGGAAAAGTTAAATGACTTGATTTCCTACAATAGTAATGGAAATTTAACCTCAAAAACTAAGAATTAATGAAATCTCATTTTGTACCACAACAACTTTCAAAGACATTTAAATGAAAAGGAAATCTAATCAAATCACTAGGCTTATCTACATGCCTTTGTCTTATTTCTTTCTGAGAAAATTATTTCAAAAGAAAAAAAAGTAGTTTTGATCATTACATAAAATGCCAAGTTAAAATGTAGTTGAACTTAAGACCTTAAAAGGGTAAAAAAAAATTCATATGATCCTTTTTATTTTTCACAGACTTTTCTAATTAAGTAAGTTGTAAGATGCTAAAGATGCCTTCTCAGACATAAGGAAAGAATCCCGTTAGTCTCTGTAACTGGCTACTGGCTTTTAGGCAGAAACCACGCATTGCCACATGTAGGTGTGAAGGTAGATAAGGGCATCTCCCAGCTGCAAGGCGGTTGTTCTTCCCCTGTACCCAAGGAAAAAGTTTCAGACACGTACTATCAACCATATCTTGTCCATCTCCTCTTTCATCAAAGAAGAATGTGTCTCATGTGCAGAGCCGCAGAGGAAATAGTTATAAGAATTGTGAAAGCAAATGTAGCTGAAAAGATTACTATGCATGTTGGAAAATCAGACAGGAAGTAGAAAGCTGAGTAAACTCTTAGAAACAAAGATGCACAATAGTTTGGATCACCCATCAGGTGAGTGACAGTGTGCCTCGTGTCCTTCCATACAGAGACCTGTTTCCTCTGCTTAGATAATCCTAAATCCTGCTGAAAAGGATTCTAAAGAAGAACCCATTTTATTGCAAGAATATATTTTTTTCTGAGACCCATATTTATGAGGGTTCCATGCCACAGTCTTCAAAAATTACCTTTCCTTAGGGGTTGGGGATTTAGCTCAGTGGCACAGCGTCTGCTTGGCAAGTACAAGGTCTTGAGTTCGATTCCCAGTACTGGAAAAAAAACAAAAACAAAAAAAAAAAAATTACTTTTCCTTAAATTAGGAATTGTCAATCCTGCTCAAGAAATCACAACCCTTCTACAAATTTAAATATGTTGTATGAACTTCTTTAAAATATTGTTAGGTTTTGTAAACTGTCTAAAATAATTACCTCTAACATTTACTTCATTGTTATGCCTTCCTCAGTATCAGAACCAAGTAACCTTTTGAAGGTCAGGATAAAAGCAATTATCCAATGGCAAGTGATGGCCTATTGCTATCATGATATTAATCTCCCAATCCTACTTTGGAGCCAAAGTCAGAAATATTTAATCGTTTCACTGTAAAAAGTGTAAACAGCTTAACAACATGTATTTGAGTTGAATTTCTTTTAATGGCATTAATAAACACAAGCAGATGCAACAATAAATGTGCAGTCACACACAGCCAGCCAACGAATGTAACAATACCAAGAATTAAACACAAGTTAATTCTAAAACAGTATAAGTGGTCTTTCTGGGGTTGCTATGAACAACCTAATAAAGTCTGTGAAATGTGTGCATGTTTTAGATAAACAAATATATTATGATATATAATCTAATTGCTTGAATGTTTTAACACGTTCCTTCCTTAAAAATATATACTTAACAAACATATGTGTCAGAAATTCTTAGTATGCTATGAGAGGTATAACTTCCTACTTAAATTTAAGAGTAATGGGGAATAGTGTGTCCAAGCCATACAGGACCATCTTCAGCTGTAAATATGAATGGGAAATCTGGTCTTCAAACTTCATAGTCAACCACCAACAAAGTGCGTCTGAAAAACTAACTCTTGGCCTTCACATGAATTTTAGACAAATTCATACAATGATATTTCTGAGGAAAAAATTGTACCCTAATCTTGTTGTTTTGTTCATTTGGAATTTTTTCTTGAGTAGATTTGTTGCTACCTTGCTTACCAGGCATCATTCTTTCTGGTGTGGCAGAAATACCGAGGTCCAGGTTGTAGCTCTTAAATACTGAAGAAAAGCTGACAACATTCACTCAATAATCATGACTTTTAAACTAACATTTATGAAACATAATTTTTAAATTTGAGAACTTTAAGCAATAATAGCGAAATGAATTTAAAAAGGCAAAAGTTTAGCCCTTTTTTCTGAATTTTGACACTAAAAATTATGGAATGGTACCCATGCAAATCAGCTTCAGTGGGGCTCACTATAAGTAAATCAGTATTTTCATATTTGCCAAAGTTTAGAAGAATTTGGCTCCAAAATTCACTGTACCCCAATACTAAAGTCCAGTGTGAATCCTTTTCATTGTTTGCAGTCAGACATACTCAGGATGCTGAGCAGCTACCTAAAAGATCTTAAGGTTTATTAGATTTAGATCAGCGTCCAAAAAACTTAAACTATTTCAAGAAAAATCTGAGGGGGAAAAGCCTTGCCTCATTTTAAGTATTCTCTTTTTTTAAAAGAACATGCTCATTAAAAAATTAAGTTTTTATTATTTTGTATCTGGACAAAGTGTTTGAAGTTGCCTTCCTAGGAAAAGCTCAAAGCAAATATGGTTTTGTAGAATCCAATCTAATGTTTTTTCAGTAGTTCAGTATGCTGTTGCATTATTCCACCTCCCAGCTTCATAAGGGTGACATTTCTGACCAAGCAGCCAAATTCATATTTTCCAGTTCCTGAAAATCTATTATAAAAACAAATCTGGCTGACTTCAAAGTTCCAACACCCTTAAAAGGCACACAAAATACCAAGAAGCTTAGTATCAAACTTAAAAACACAAAATAAATGTGAAAAGTCAATGCTGGCTACCTCAAAATTTGGATTAGATTTTTGTTAATGCAGAATTTCCTCAGAAAACCTCTAATCAGTGTCTGGTAAATTATTCCACCACATAAAAGGCAGGAGGATTAAAACAAATTCAACTGCTAACAGTAACAATTTGAGTTCCATTTTCCTTTGATGGTGTGCCAAAAGTTAAGGAAACCAAGCGTAACACTGGCCATGAAGAATAAGAAAATTGTAATAATTTCCCCACAGGCCAAACAGGAATGGAGACTCACATTCAGTGGAGCTGTACAAAGTCATTCATCGTGTGGTTTAATATACATTACTTGAAATGCTGTATGCAAGAAATAAATATATATAAAATTTGTAGCTAGTGCATAAAGTATTTTCAAGTTGTGGCAGTTACACTGAGTATGTTAAAAATTCCATCTTCTGTATATGTGATAGTATTTGGAAGGTTTAAATCCTATGTTTTTATTTAAATACATTAAAAATATTATGAAAAATAAAAAGCCTTAATGTTTTCCTATTGTTATCAAAATGCATATCACAGAGGGGCCTTTTCTAAACATAATCACCATGACATTGTTCAGCCTTCCTTATTTTTTCTCATAAGAATGCTTAGTTTTCTTAAATTGACTTGATTTAGAAAAAGCATTTTTGGGAATCAAAGTTATCAAAGTGTAGAAAGTATCCTGCATACGGAGCAGGAGCATGTGAGTTGGAAGAGAGCTGAGAGTAGCCATCTGTGAGCGGGGGTACAGCCTCTGGATCTGTCACATCCAGATTTGTTCCCACTGACTCACAAGTTCCACATCCACCACCAGCTACCAAGGGGTGTATAGTGAGGGGTTCTCTGCTTCCAGCCCCACTTAACTATGAGGGGAAAAGGAAAACATTGCCTCCTTAGGCTCATGTGACGATGACCTGAGCTAATAATACCTAGGAAAGAACCCAACAGAGAAAAAAATTTTAAATCTTCATTATTATTGTATACACGGCAGGAAATATGACAGAAGCCCCTTCTTTGCCTGCAGCATTCTGCTGTCATCCAAAGCTCCTCAAACAGTCCTAAGTAGCCTCCCAGCCTCCTGCCACTTAGGCCTGGATAAATTCCAAGCCCGAATAAGATCACAAGGGTGGTACATGAGTTCTGGGAACTCACTCTCTGGCCCTGGCACCTGGGCCTAGGACAGCTTAGACAGGTAGACAAGTGATTAGGACAAGAAATGGGTTTTAGGGTAGAGACTAAATTCACTTCTTCACAAAGATACAATCAAATAAGTCATATGAACGTCAGGACTTAAAAGCTAAACTGGAGAATAATGAATGAGAGAAGGAGAGTAGAAACTTCTCCCTTTGAAGTTTACTCTGAAGCCCACTGACTACTATACTGGTGTCTTCTCCACCCAGTGCCAGAGGAACAGTGCCCAGGAACATGTCCATACCTGGTGCAGCTGTGACTTACATGGCCTATCCAGCTCCTATAGGTCTAAGGCCTTCCCCCAATCTAGTCTCTTAGCCCAACACAGATGGGCCATCACACAGACAAAGCATCAGGAAACCCCCATCTTAGTTACTTTTCTTCTTGCTGAGACAAAATACCAGACACCAAAGGTTAAAGAAGAGAGGGTCATTTAGCTCACAGTTTGTAGATGTTTCAGTCCATAATCAGCTGGCTCCAAGGCAGGGTGGCGCATGGGAGAGGAGCCTTAGCTTATAGTGGCAAAGATAGCAAAAGCAACAAGAGAGAACAAGACAAGCCTCTTTCTCTCCCTTATATAATATCCAGGATTATATAGCATCCGGGATTAGGGTGGTGCCAATCCAACCAGTAGACTGATCCAGCAATCACCCACCCTTAATCCCAGCATTGCACTATGAGTCAATCACACACTCTAGATTCAACCACCTCCCAAAAATCTGAATGAGGCTTTGGAGGGACCTCTAAGCACAAACCACAACACCATCTAAGCTTTAAAAATATATCTATTGTTCTTCTAATTCACACCACACCAGTTGTTATAAGCCTGGTCTAAATTACAGTTATGTCCTGTCTGGATTATTACAAATGGTTTCACTTCAAGCCCTCCCAACTCTTGATTCTCAGTGAAGTAACAAGAATTCTCCTTTTAAAAGAGTGTAACACCATCTCACTCCCCTACTCAAAACCCTCAAATGCTTTCCCACTTCTTTACTCAGAATAAATGCCGAAGTACTTGCAGTGGCTTGGAAGGACCACTGTGACATGACCCTTCTTACCTTTCCTTATTCTGCCTGTTTCTGATCCACAGCTCCATCTCTTTGACTCTTGACTGTTATGTAATTGCCAAGTATAGGGCAGTCTCAGATTCTTGCACTAGATATCAATTAGTTGTCAGTTCTGACTACAGTGCTGTCTACCAAGAGAGTTGCATGACAAACTCTCACTTTCAATTTTTCTCCGCATAATGCCAATCTCAATTATTTTATTTAGGATTGAAAATCTTCAGCCCCATTTTATACAGCTCCTCCCAATCATCCACCCCGCTCTTCATGTTGTGATAGCATTTATAACTTCTAAACACTCTATCAGCTGCCAGTTCATTATGGTTATTGTATACATCGTCAAATGAAACATAGGCCTGGGCTTACTAAATAATTTTGGATGACTTAATTAACTTTTGATGCAAAATGCAATAGACATTGAAGTTCTCCACACCTCCCTCATTTCCCACAGTCAGATTATGTCAGATGACACTTTCTATCTCCACCAAGCCCCTATTTGTATCTTCTTCTCTGTAAGTACCAAGCTGATATGAAGGATGCTGGAGTATAAATCAAAGTCATTGATCAGTGACAAAGGGGCAAGTAAAGGAGCCAATATCATGGCATTTTGGCTTGTAACTCTTTTTATTTAGTACACAACTTAAAAGACAAAGGCATAGAAATAGCTATCCTCTGTTATTGGTCACATCTTGTGTAAAAGTGCAGTTAATAGCAGCATGCAGGGAGAATGGAGAACTGTAGTAGCAGAGACTGTTATGGTTTATGTCTGGATATCCCCCCAAAGCCTCATGCAGTCATGGGTCAGGCGTCTAGAGTTTTTGATTGTTCCATAGTTCAATATTTGGATTATGGATGTGAGTGCTACACCACCTGGGGCAGATAGTTTGCATACAATATAAGGGAGGGAAAGAGCCTGGATCTTGGCTGCTCCTCTCTTTTTGCTCTTGCTGCTTTGCTGTTTTCTGCTGCCATGAATTACTGCCCTATGCCATGTGCACCCTGCCTTGGAGCCAGCCACATGTGGACTGAAAACCTTCACAAACAGTGAGCTAAACAAACATTTCCCTCTTTAATTTGGATGTCAGGTATTTTGTTTCAGCAATGAAAGAAAAATAATGAAAACAGACTGTGTGTGCCACTAAAGTTAAATAGATGCCAAAGCAAACTAGATTGCCCCATATTTAAGATGTTAAAGAGAATCCCATGCTAATCACAAAGAAAATAGCTCTTAAAATAATGCACAAAAGAAAAAATGTGGTTCTCTTCAAAAAATTAAATATAAAAGAAAGCAATAGTAGAAAAAATGAAAGACAAAGATGGTAAAAGAAAGACTAAAATGATTACAAAATGGCTAACCTAAGCCCTGTCCTTTCAGTAATTTCTTGAAATATAAGTGGATTAAACTCTCCAGCAAAGTGGCAAAACTTAACATGAATGAATAGAAAAAATAATAGTAATCCAACTATATTCTGTCTAGTAGAGACTTACTTTAGATCCAAAGACTAAAGCAGGATGGAAAAAATATGTTTCATATAAATAGTAACCCAAAACTAACTTGGGTACCACATAATTACAATAGAAAAAATAGACTTTAAACTGTAAACTATTAAAGATATCAAAAATGACATTAAATATTGACTAAAGAGCTGGGTATGGTGGCACATTCCTGTCATCCCAGCACTCAGGAGGCTGAGGTAGAAGGATTTCCATGAGTTTGAGGCCAGCCTGGACTACATAGTGAGTTCAAGTCCAGCCTGGACTACATATTGAGACCCTGTCTCAAATCCCTTCCCTCCAAAAAACTTAATTAAAATCTTAGCCATTAAGAAAATATAACAATCATACAAATATGAGCACCAAACACAGTATCCAAAGTTATTAAACAAAAGTGAACAAAAGTAAAGAGATGAATGAGCCATTTTGTAGTAATAGATGAAGACTTCAATACCTCCCACATTTAACCATGGACAGAATATCTAAAGAAAATCCATAGTAAAACAGAAACAATAAATATTATTCCACATACATATATAGAACCCTGTACCAACATCAGAATATATGTCATCTAAGCATACACAGAACACTCTCCAAGACAGACCAGATGTTATTCAATAAAATAAGTCTCAAAATTTTAAAAGACTGAAATCATATTAGATATTCTCTCCAGACCAAATTAAACAAAATTAGAATTCAGTAATGATACTACAAGATTCACAAGGTTAACAATGGAAATTAAACAACATACTCTCAATTATCTGCCACATTTACTTGTCTGTGTCAGTTTGGATAACAGAGTATGCAGATATTTGGCTAAATACTATTTCTGGGTTTAACTGATGTGTTTTCAGAGAAAACTGAAAGTCAGTTGCCCTCCCCATTGAGGGTGCCATTGATGCCATCGACTGAGAACCTGAAGAGAACAAAGGATGGAGGAAGAGGGAATCTGCTCTTTCTTCCTGATGGAGACGGCTGAGCTGATCTTCTACTTTTAGACTGAGGATTGTACCATTGCTCTTTCTGCTCCTCAGGCACCAGAATACTACACTGGTTTCCTAGCTCTTCGTCTTGCAGACGGCAGACTACAATACGTCTCAGCCTCCATAACTATTTGTGCAACAAGGGAAATACAAACCAAACCATAATGAAATACCACTTCACATCTAGTAGGATAGCTATCATTAAAGACAATAACAGACAAAATTGTGGGTGAATAGAATTTTGAACAGAACAAATAATTGACAAAAATGTGGGTGAACAGAATGTGGAAAAACTGGAGTTAAAGTGAATACAAAATGGTGCAACCACTGTGACAAACAGTTTGGCAGTTCCTCGATATGGTAAGCAGAAACACCATAAGTAGAAGTATCTTCCCAAGAGAAATGAAAACATGTATCACAGAAAATTTGTATACTGATGTTCATTGCAGCGTTAGTTACAATAACCAAGAAAGTGTAAACAGACCCAAATGCCTATCAATGGATGAATGGGTAAACAGAGCACAGCATTCCATGAAATCAAATATGATAGGACAATCTATAAAAGGAATTACATACCGATTTGTGCTACACATGGGTGAACTCCATGACTAAGCCTTGAACCCATTATGCCAGATAAAACAAGTCATGCACAACAGACCACACATGATGTGGTTGCAGTTATATGAGAAATAAAGTAGATTCATGTTTTCCTGAGTGCCGAGTGCTACAGTGGCAAGGAGTGGGTAGGAGGAACAGTGATTGCTGGT